ATGATGATGATGATGATGATGATGATGATGATGATGATGCTGATGATGCTGATGCTGATGCTGATATCGACACTGATGATGATGTTGATGATGATGCTGATGCTGATACTGCTGCTGTTTATGATGATGATGATGATGATGATGATGATGATGATGATGATGATGATGATGATGATGATGATGATGATGATGATAATGACGATGTCGATGACGATGGCAATCAGGACGATGACTATGGTGCCACAGACGGCTCTGCTAGTTATAATGATCGACATTCCACGGGTACCCTTGCATTTTCTCGTCGGCCCATCCTTGGCCACGTGCGTTGGCTGCACCCCGCGCGAAACGTGTCGGCATGGCCGTCCAATGCCCGTGCATCCTCATCGTGCCTCCGTACTCTGCTGAGGATGGCCAGGAATAGCGTGCCCGCAGAAACTCAGGATTAGCTTTGTATCTCACGTGGAAATCAGTGGGCAGCGACACGCATGAGGCCCGCAATAAATTGTTTGGTCGACTTGGTGGGCGGCAGGCATGTTTGAACATGTTCGATCTGAGTGTTCGTGTGTCCTGCACTGTCGTATTCGACAGCATGGGTCCCGATGGTTGTCCCGACTGGTTGTCCCGACTGTGGTCCCGAGGAATCGATGGTGAAATCGATAGTGAGGTCGATTGTGAGATAAGTCATCACGCGTCGTCGCCACCCCGAAGGCGCGTCACCAGCATCGTTATTATCACACCCATCGCATTTTCCAGCAGTTGGTTCTTCTCCCCCTTTCATCTCCTTATCACCCGAAAGGTGATCGTATGGTGTCAGGAGGAGGAGGAGGAGGAGGAGGAGGAGGAGGAGGAGGAAGCGGAGGATGAGGATGAGGAGGAGACGGAGGAGGATGAGGAGGATGAGGAGGAGGAAAAGAGGGAGGAGGAGGAGGAGGAGGGGGAGGAGGAGGAGGAGTCGCGGCAGGAGGAGGAGGAGGAGGGAGGAGGAGGAGGTGGAGGAGGAGGATACCGGCTCGCCGCGAAGGCCCGCAGGCGGGCGCGGGTGGCCGGGCTGCGAGGCACGGAAGCCGCGCTCGAGGCATAACCTTGGGGGGGGGTCAGAGGATCGCGGAAACGAAGGACTCGAGTAAGCCAGAACTCTGGTTCGCCGATTTTTTTTATTTCCGCGTGTGCCTCGTCATTGTCACGATGTCCACGTCAGGCCAACCGGAGTCCCCCGTACACGAGTCTTACGTCTCCCCGGGAGGAGGAGCCGGCTTGGGCTCGGCGGCGAGCGAGGGGTGGAATCCAGAAGGCGAAGGCCTTCTCAGAAGGCGGCGGGACTTCTCAGAAGCCTTCGCGCCTTGAGAAGTTTTCTGTGTCGATTCGGGGAAGGCGTCGAAAACTTTTCAGGAGGCCAGGGGACCTCCGAGCCTTCAGAGAAGGCCCTCTGCTTCTCCCTCCCCCCCTTCTCTCGCAACAGACAGGGGGTCCAGCACTGGTCCCAGACCACCTCCCCTTTTGGACAAAAATCGCGACGGGAGGTCTGTCTCTCTTTTCGGTCTCTGGGGGCCCTCGCCGGGTCTCCTGGGCCGCGCAAGAAGGACCCAGGATGAATCACCCGTCCCGGGGAAGGGGTCGAGACCTTCGGGGGTACAGTCGGGCCGCTGAAGAAGGAACCCTTTTCGTTGGGGAGGGGCTCGGTGTTCCTTGATTATTTCACAGCTTGCCTCAGGTTTTCATTGTGTTCTCGATGGGAAATCGAAGTTTAACTTTGGAGAAAAGGGGCCTCGTTTCTGATTTAGGGTTCCTGGAGGTCAACGCCCCGACAGTAGATGTTGTGAACAGTCCCGACGTCGGGGGGTCTGGGGAGTTGGCCCAGCACCGAATCCGGCCAGCAGGAGGGGAGGGCAGGTTGGGGGGTTTGGGTTCGAGCAGGTCTCTTGCCTTTTTGAGGAGGGAGGAGGGAAGACGTGGACCTGTATCACTGTTCGATCCCCCTCGCTGGTCGTCCTCCTTCGGAGGAGCGAGGGCAGGGTCACCAGAAACTTTCGAAGATCTGGGCGGATGTCTTCGGCCGGCGCGCAGCGCCGATCCAAGACGACCGCTCAAACTTCACGAAGTTCATGCTTATGTAGCCTTTCCCTTTTCGAAGGGGAAGCACCAGCCGTAGGATTCGAGGAGTTGTGCAGGCCCACCTCCATTCTCATCCCTCCCCCTCCTCTGATTGAACCCCTTCTTCCTGGGAAGGGGCATGGGGACGAAGGATTGGGTGTTGCCAAAGGTGTCCCTGGCCCAATGGTCCCTAGGATTTTCGGGGGGACCCGGACGGCCTCCAGATCACGCTCACGAGTCAGGGAGGGCACCAGGGCCTCAGAAACGGAGCGAACAGGGCCGCACAGGATCCGACTCGATGCGATGAGATTCGCTGGCTCGGGCCGCGCGATTCCGATTGTATTCGATTCGGTCAAATCCGCCGGCATGGGCCGGAGCCACGTAGAGCTGGGCGCGGCGATGTGATTTCGATTCGACTCGGGACGACATCGATGGGGATTCAAGCAGTTCCCAATCCGATGCGATGTCGCGAGTCGATCCAGCTCCGGCCTCCCTGGCTCAATCCGATCCGATCCGAAACGGGGCGGATGCTGAGTCCCCCCCTTCTCTTTGGGACTTTTTAGGGTCGGGCGATAACCCAAGTTATTCTGGGGCGGCCAAGACTGAGGGGGGGGATACCATGGCGGGGGCCATGATATCGCCCTAGATTTCACGGTGCCTCTTCTTATTCCAGTAGGTCCCTGGCCCCCACTGGACCGCCCACATGCCGCCGGCCATGATTTGCGCCCCCCCCCCACCCCCCTCTTCGCCCCCTCCCCCCCCCCTCTTAGACGCCCCCCATGTGGCCGCCCCCGAGTTATCGGGCGGCCCGCCCGTAACCTGACATTGTCGGTTGTTCAGGCCCCAGGGAGGTACGCAGTATTGGTGCGCGCGGGCACGCGTGAGGCTGCCCAGAGTGACGAGCAGACGACTCACACCCGTACGCATAGGGGGGGGGTCGGAGGGAGGAGGCCTGGCTATGGGAATGGGCGTGGGCTGTCGGACCCCTGGGGAGGCTCCCGTCTGAGCGGGGACCCCAAGCCGTGACAACGCGCATCCATAGCCCCCTCCGTCCCCCCTGTGGGTATGGGTGCGTGTTGCATGTTCGTCCGCCGCAAAGAGAAGAGACCAGGCCATCGGCTGGTACCGCCCTCCCCCCCTTCGGAACTGATAGCCTGCGCCACCCAGACATACTGACAGTACATGTGGCTCGCCCCCCCCCCAGGGACGACGCGGGTGCTCCGAAGTCTTGTAGCAGATGCTCCGTGGAGGTTTCTTTCTGGCCGTGCCGGTCGGCAAGCGACACAACACATCTATATGTATATATATATATATACATACACATATATATACATATAAATATACACACCTATATCTATACGTATATACTATTATTGGGTCTGTGCATTTTATATGTTCGGGTATGACGCATGCCTCCGAGAAGGACACATCGTGCCAACACAGTCAGCACTGATAGTAGGGATGATCTACTTTCCAAAGGCACCCTTGCATCCTGGCCTCTTCGGTCATCCTTTGTCCATTCCTTGACTACTCTGGATGGCCAGCCCCGCTCGAAGAGCCTCGGCATGTGCGACCAAGGCGCTTTCATTCGGTGGCGAGCCTGGTGGGGAAGTGAGAATGGGCCTGGGCTTTCTCAGAAGGCTGTGAAGCCTCCCGGTCCTTCGAAACCTCCCCGAAGTCGCAGAAGATCTTCCTCAGAAGGCTGGCGAGCTTCTCAGAAGCCCCGCCGCCTTCTGAGAGGGCCTTTTCCGTCTCACTTCTCCCCCGCTCGCGGGCGGTCCTCTTCGGGCCTCTTGCGGGTCTTTTTTATGCTTCGTGGCGGCCTCATGGGACCTCTATGGGGTCTCTTGGGAGCCTCTTGGGGGCCTCTTGGTGCTTCCTTGGCTTGCCTGTGTGTCCTTGTGCGTCCCTCGGAGGCGACAATCGGGGGCGAGTAGCCCATGGGGGGGAGCAACACGTGCTTTTCGAGCCTCCAGTCGCCCACGTCTTCGGCGAGGCTGCTGGGCGAGTGCGGCCGACGCGCCCAGTGAGGTCGCGCGCCTGCGTCTGCGGGGCTCTTGTGTCCTTGCCTCTGCGGCCCGTCCTTTGCCGTGTCCGTTGGTCGCCCACCGGCGAAACAGAATCCCGACTCTGGCCTCCAAGGGTCTGGCGTCCTTACCACCCGTCTTTAATCAGGCGATCGCAACTATGGATTAGGGGGGCGTGGATTAGCGACGGGTCCTGTTTCCATGGGAAGACAATTGCGGATTTCAGCCGCCGACCGAGGCGGCACCGGCCGCATTTGGGGGAGGGCACCTCCCCCGATCCATGGATTTGGCGACCGCGCACCAACTTCATGGATCGTGAATCCAGGTCTGCACGCCCCCGAAAAACATCATCCCGACCTCGGCCCCCGAGGCTCCTGGCGTCCTCACCACCCGTCCTCTAAAAACGACACCTGGCATGCACGTGCCACGCCCTGCCCAAAGGGGCTATCCGCCCCTCTCCTCCGCCCCTCTCGTCCCAGCGGGGGCCGCCGCCGCGGCGTGCACAGTTCTGCGCCCCCCCCCCTGCGAGGCCCGCGCGCCCCCCGGCGGCGCCCCTCTCCTCTCCTCCGCCCCTCTCCTCCTCCCCTCTCGTCCACCCAGAGGGGCTATCCGCCCCTCTCCTCCGCCCCTCTCGTCCCAGCGGGGGCCGCCGCCGCGGCGTGCACCGTTCTGCGCCCCCCCCCCCCCGCTTGGCATCGCTCGGACGTGTGCATTTTTTCTCGGCGAGGACCATCGAGGAGCATCCTTGATCATTTGGCGCCACCCGCAGGGAGGGCAGGAGGAGGAGGACGAGGAGGAGGAGGAGGAGGAGGAGGAGGAGGGAGGAGGAGGAGGAGGAGGAGCGTCCGAGCGATGGCCAGCCCGCGAGGCCCGCGCGCCCCCCGGGGGCGCCGAAGCGCCGCCGCGGCCGCGCGAGCGCGGCGGCGCGGAGGCGCCGCCGGCGTGCCCGCCGCCGCCAGCCCCGCCCGCGGACGCCGGGGGCACGGCAGAGAATCCCAGACATCAGGAGAGGAAAAAGCACACAGACACAATTCATCCTCGATGCCCCAGAAAAGATGGGAACATATATGGGAAGTGGGGGGGAGGCAGAAACCCAGAAGATATGGGAAAATCTGGGGCGTAGTTTTATTTATAATCGCTTCGCTCATTCCGCCGGCCCATAATGTCGCACCGTGGTCGACTGTCCGAGTGGTCGTTTGCAGTGTGGAGCTGCGGCGTCGGGAGCTGTGTAGTGTTGGGGGCGTTCTTGGGGCCCTCTTGGGCCGTCCTGGAGGCCTCTGGGGCCGTCTTGCAGCCGTCTTGGGCCGTCTTGGGGCCCTCTTGGGGGCCTCTTGGGCCCTCTTGGGGCGATCTTGGAGGCCTCTTGAGCCGTTTAGGGGCGTCGGGGAACCGAAAAGGTTAAAACGCCCAAATCTGTCCAACACCAAAGGAAAAGCGCAGGTTGTTGCCTCTTGGGGCCCTCTTGGGAGTTCTCTTGGAGGCCTCTTGGGGCATCTTGGAGGCTTCTTGGCCCATCTTGGAGACGTCTTGGGCCGTCTGGAGGCCATCTTGGGCGTCGTGGAGCGATCTTCGGGCGTCTCGGACCTCTCTTGGACCGTGTTGGGGGCGTTCTTGGGGCCCTCTTGGGCCGTCTTGGAGGCCTCTGGGGCCGTCTTGGAGCCGTCTTGGGCCGTCTTGGGGCCCTTTTGAGGGCCTCTTGGGCCCTCTTGGGGCGATCTTGGAGGCCTCTTGAGCCGTTTAGGGGCGTCGGGGAACCGAAAAGGTTGAAACGCCCAAATCTGTCCAAAACCTAAGGAACAAAAACATTGATTTTTGCCTCTTGGGGCCTTCTTGGGAGTTCTTCTGGAGGTCTCTTGGGGCATCTTGGAGGCTTGTTGGGTCATCTTGGAGACGTCTTGGGCCGTCTGGAGGCCATCTTGGGCGCCGTGGAGCGATCTTCGGGCGTCTCGGACCTCTCTTGGATTGTGTTGGGGGCCCTCTTGGGGCGATCCTGGAGGATCTGGGGGAGTGTCCCGGGCTCCGCCCGGGGTACTTTTGGTCCAGGGACCCCCAGGGGCCGCCCCGCGCGCGCGAACTAGAAATCCTGTTTACCAGTTCCCGGAGATCTCAGCACGCCTCGGGCCCGTGGGGCCGGCGAGTTTGTGTGTACTTCTTTGTGTGTCCTATGGGGCCCCTTCACAGACAGGCCCCCGCGCGCGCCGGGCCGCGGGCGCAGGCCGCGGAGGGCACGCGGAGGGCAGGGGCCGAGCCCGGGGCGGAGAGGGCGAGCGGCGGAGGGCTGCGGCGAGCTGGGGGGGGGGAGGCGGAGGCCGCCCGAGGAGGCGGCCGGGGGCCTCTCGGCAGCCCTCGCGCCCTCCGAGGGGTGTGCTCTGCGTCTCGGGCTCGGCATCGCTCGGACGTGTGCATTTTTCTTTCGGACCCTCGAGGAGCATCCTTGATCATTTCGCGGAAAAACCACGCACGAAACCGAGAAAAACACAGGAAATGGACGTCCGAGCGATGGCCAGTGGGGGGAGGCCGAGAAGACTTGCCAGAAGACCCGGGAACTTCCGAGCCTTGCCAGAAGTCCCGCCCCGTCTCACTTCCCCCCCCCCCAGGCGCGCCGCCTAGAATCCGCGGACGATGTGTATGCACCGTGCCGCGTGGACGTCTCCCGAGGCGTTGTCGATCTTCGACCCAGGAATGGTCCCGTGCATGGTTTACCGGCCCCTCGAGCCAAGAAATTTTGCAGCGTACCGTGTCGGCACGAGGCCTGAGGGGGGTTCAAGCATGGTGTGGTGCATAAGCGCCGTTCTCGTACAGGGTCTGGCTTGACTAAGGAACACTTACTTTCCAAAAGGGGTTTGGTCGTTCCTTTGGTTTGCATGCGTTCCGCAACCTTTCTGGCGGCGAACCCTACTGGTTTTCCTTCGGAATTTCCAGGCTCACTTGAATGGCTCCGTTCCTTATTCATCGTTCCTTAGGTCGGGCCGAATACTGTACAGGAGAGTATGGAAGCGGCTGCCCACGCACACGTGCAGTGCGCAGCCGCGCAGAAAAGCAGTGGCAGCCAACAGCTGGGCCAGGCAGAGCCACCCGTGGAGGATTTTTCTACCATGTTTTGATAATTGTTTGGGCATTGTTTAAACGTGTTTTATTTTGTTGGCCAAAATCTGCCTGTAGGGGGGCACGCCCGACATAAGGCTACACCGTGCAAGAGGGATTTTGTTGTTTGCTACTGTCGGATTCCAGGGGCCCTCGCCGGGCCGTCAAAAGACGGACTCAGGACGAAAAGCAGCAGAAGGCCAGGGGGTTTCCGAGCCTATTGAGAAGGCCCTCTCCTTCTCATTTCCTCTCGTCGTTCGCCGTCGAAAGGTGATCCAGCATTGGTCCCAGACCCTTTTTCGTTGCGAAACAAATCACGGCGGGAGGTTATTTCTCTATTTTTGGCTTTGGGGGCTCTTACCGGGTCTCTAGGCCGTCCAAACAGGATTCAGGATGACACACCGGTCCCTTTGGGACGGGTCGAGACCTTTGGGGGTCGACGTTGTGATCGAATCACGGCGCCGGGGGTCTGGGAATATCGGTTACATGTGCACGCCAGTCGTTGAAAGCAGTTATGTTGGGATGATCAGATCCCGATATACTTCCAGCGTCTCCTGCTTCAAGTATCTATGTATGTACAGATTCACCATTCGTGGTTCTGTACATGTATATATAGATATGCGAAGATGCTCACATATGTATTTCCATCGATGTGGGTATGTATGGATATACACATGTGCATACATACTACGTATATCTGTATATCTGTATGTGTGTGTCTGTTGTTGTTACTCCTTGGGCAGGCCCGAACCCAATCTACTTGATCCACCTTCCGACCTCAGGTGTCCACTTTTCTTCCGTCTGGCGGGTAGGAGTGTCCTCTCGCCAGGGTGACCTTTGCTGCGGGCACAGCGGGGCCCCGACAGTACCGCAAGCGACGCGGTAGCGGCGGCTTGTGCTCTCGTATTTGCGTCCCCGCGGCCCCCGAACGTCGCGCACCAGAGGTCACCTTGTGCCCGGGGTCGCTCCTTGCGCGCGGCCGCAAGAGCCGCAACGCGTGTAGCCGCAAGCGCCACAGCCAGAACTGCTTGGAGTGCTCCGGAGGGCCCCTCGGGGGAGGGCCCTCCGACGTTGACGTCAGCACTCTGGCCGTGGCTAGGGTCGACCTGGCTGTCCCTTCACGAACACATCGTCCACGTTGCTCGGTGTGTTGACAAGGACCGGCCACAACGCTGCTTAGCTTGGTTCGGGCCCTTGCTTTGTTTTTTCCGTTTCGTTTGTCGTTGAGTTTCGTTTCGTTCTCCGTTGTTGCTTTGAACGCCCCATTTCGTCGTTCGTTTCCGTTTCGCACCAGCTTTGTTCTCAACGTTCGTTTTGAACGTTTGTCCTCGTTTCGTTTTCCGTTGTGAGCACCATTTCGTTTGTAAACGTCGTTGTGGTCGGGTCCTTGTGTTCTGACGATCGTTGGGGCATTTGGGGTATGCGCAAGACATCCCCCGGTGTGTGTCGTCGTCGTGGCTGCGGGCGCCGTGCTGTCCCCGCAGGACGAGCCGTCGGTCGGCTCCACGGCCCACGCCTCGGGCGAGTGCCGGCCCTGCGCGTACTTCCACCGGCCACCGGGGGGGGCGAAGGGCAGCTCCTCGAAAGAGACATAATTTTCACCACGGTGTCGGGGGCAACGATAGGGGGGGGAGAAAGCCAACGGGGAGGGGACGCAGCGACCCCCACGGCTCGCCGATGGGGGCCCGATGGCCCCGACCTGCCCAGGGAGGTGCGGACTCGCCACCGGCCATGACCTGCTCGTCGGGGGGCTCGAGGCGCGGCCGCAGACCCTGGGGGGTGGTCCGCCGATGCGGCGGCGGCACTGCCCTCCTCCTCCTCCTCCTCCTCCTCCTCCTCCTCCTCCTCCTCCTCCTCCTCCTCCTCCTCCTCCTCCTCCTCCTCCTCCTCCTCCCCCCTCCCTTCTCCCTCCTCCTCCTCTGCTCCCCTCCTCCTCCTCCTCCTCCTCCCCTCCTCCCCCCTCCCCCTCCTCCTTCTCCTCCTCCTCCTCCTCCTCCCCTCCCCCTCCTCCTCCTCCTCCTCCTCCTCCTCCTCCTCCTCCTCCTCCTCCTCCTCCTCCTCCTCATCCTCGTCTTCCCCCCGATGCAGCGGCGGCCCTGCCCCTTTGCGCTCTGCGCCCTCCCGCGGGGGCCTCCTGCGGAGGGAGGGGCTCCTCGTCCCCACGGCCGGCAGCCCCGCCTCGAAGTGCCCCTCTTGGGAGGGAGGGGGCGTCGGGGACCACGCCGCGAGGGGATGCCTTTTGCTCAGGGGGGGCCACGCCAAGACAGGCTCGCGTCGCAGAACGCCAGGACGTGAGTTTTTTTTTTTTGTTAGTTTGTTGTTTTTTGGAGTTTCTTCGTTATCTAAGAGATGTTCTCGGCCTCCGGGAGCCCTCGCCTGGCCCGGGCACCGTCAAAAGACGACTCGGGATGGGAAGCCGGGCCCCATGGCAGGGGCCGGGACTCCCGGGGACCGCGCACCGAAAAAGTCAGGCCGTCGCACGTTTGGGAACGTGCTTCAGAGCAGACGCTCCCTCTGGAGCGGGGGCCCCTGGGGCCCATCTCGGGACGCTCCACGGCTGCGCTTCGGCGCCCCCCGTGGCCGAATGCGTGGCCGCTGCGACACCTCACGTGGGGTATACATAGGGGATCGAACAATGGCACAAGCATGGAAACTCGGAGGTCCGCGCGAATTTCTCGGATCGGCGCTGGACTCCCCCGGCGGCGCCAGGAGTGGGGGTCCAGCGCCGATCCAATCCGCGCGGCCCTCCGAGTTTTTAGTGGTCGAGCTCCTACTGTATGCTCAGGGGGGGGTGATTCGACCCCCAAGCGCCCGGCACCGAGATGGACCCGATGGCCTTCCCACGCCGAGGAACGTGCGGATTCGCTATCTGGGGCCTACGGTGGAAACCCATGCCAAGAAACACCCTGCTTGTCTCCAGGGTGCCCTGAGTTCCTTGGATTTCGACGGGTTTGCTATCAAGTGCGCGACTTTCCCACGCCAAAGATCAATGAACGTCCTGTAATCTAAGAGCTGGGTTTTTTTGTGACAGATTTCTTGTGGTCGAGCTCCTACTGTATGCTCAGGGGGGGGTGATTCATCCCCCAAGCGCTCGGCACCGAGATGGACCCGATGGCCCACCCATGCCAAGGAACCTGCGGCTTCGCGGTTCGGTGGCAGATCGCCAATCCATTGGCGATGCATCGCCGATTCTAGGTCGATGTTTCCATCCCTGAGCCGGTCCCCCCCGGACGTCCCCCTTGCAGAATGCCTCAGAGGAGGTGCCGCTGCTCGTCCTGGAGAGCCTTCGCCGCCACGGCTGGATTCGCCTCGAAGTCCCTGTCGAAGCGCGCCCCCGGGGGATGCCATGGAGTGACGGTGTCGGCATCTCGGCTACGCGTAAGAGTGATCTTTCGCCCGAGCGACCTTTGATGCGAACCCACAGGGTCCCCCCAGCACTGGCCTGCGCTCTTGGATTGGTCCCTCCCTCCCCCCAGGCCCCAGAAAGCCGCGGACCAAAGACCGCTCCTCCTTCTCCTCCTTCTCCTCCTCCTCCTCCTCCTCCTCCTCCTTCTCCTCCTCCCCCTCCCCTCCTCCTCCCCTTCCTCCTCCTCCCCTCCTCCTCTCTCCCTCCTCCTCCTCCTCCTCCTCCTCCTCCGACTCTCCCTTCTCCTCCTCCTCCTCCTCCTCCTCCTCCTCCTCCTCCTCCTCCTCTTCCTCCTCATCCGCCTCCTCCTCCTGCCCAGTGGTCGCTCCCTGCGTGCAGCCGAGTCTCCTGCTGCTTTCCCCCGATGCCAGTCCTCGCTGGGTTTCTCGGGGAGAGCCGGGTCCCGTTGGCTTTAGCTCCCCCGTCTTCGGGGCTCCCCGGCCCTTCTCGGCCACGCGCTCGAATTCCCCTTAGCTCATCTTACCGAAGAGCTCTAAGTACGAGGTATGTTTGAGAAACCGAGCTCAGGTCCCCACAAGTTGCATTCTGCCCTGATCGGCCAACTAGCTACGCCCTGCCGCCAAGATGGGGTCGGAGCAGATGGGCTCGGAGGGTCGTGCCGCATCGCCGATGCATCGGCGATGCGGCTCAATGTGGAACCCGATTTGCTTCACGTCGGCGTCGCCGATGCATCGCCCACGTCGACGATTCATCGCCGATGCATCGCCGACGTATCGCCGATGTATCGGCGATGCTGCGCGATCCTCCGACCCCATCTACTCCGACCCCATCTACTCCGACCCCATCTAGGAGGCCTCGACGCACAGAGGGGGGTGGCGCGAGGGGGGGCAGGCTTCTTAGAAGCACCCCTTCTTCTCAGAAGGCGCGGGCCTTCTCTGTAGATGCAAGGCCGGTGCCTTCTAAGAACCCGTGCTTTCGACGTGTTGTAGATGCTCCTTGATTGGAGGTTCAGGGCGCGAGCACAAGGCGTGGCTTGGCAAATCGGACGCGCCGCCGCGGATGTCGCGCAACAGATCAACAGCACTTTACTAAAGGCTTGTTTTCTTTAGCAAATAGCTCCATCAACGAAATCGTGCGAATGTTCCGCTTCCAATCTGTAGATGCAAGGCCGGCGCCTTCTAAGAACCAGCCTCCCTCTAAGAAGCCTCCCCCCCTCCCCCCCTGCCCCCCCTGGTGCGCGCGGCCGACCTTCTCGAGGGCCCCGCGGGGCCGTCACAGAACGACCCGCGAGTCCGGCAGCTGGTCCGGGGGGGGAGGCCCCGGGGTCCAGGGCCCGGGGGCCCGTGGCGTGCAGGCCGGGGCAGCACAGCGCTGGCACGAGGTGCTGCCCTGTGTCGGAGAGGGCTCGCTTTGTGCTGGATGCTTCCGCAGGGGTTCCGCCTGCCCTCCCCGTGCCTCCCAGCGGCCCCGGTGCCCCAAATGGATCGGGCCGGACGAAAGGGGGGATTGGGAAAGGGGGGGTTACGAAATTTGCTGCATGCAGCTGGTTTCGGCCCCACCGAAGGGCCCATTCCTCGATACATAAGCCGCCTCTGGCGCCGGGAGGCGACGGGAAAATCAGCTCTGTGAGCTGATTCTCAACCCCCCCCTTTGCTATCCCCCCCTTTCGCCCGACCCGAATGGATGCATCCAGGGTCAGAGGCCTCTTGGCTAGCTATGGCTGTATCCCTCGTCGGGGTTGGGGTATCTTGCCGCCGCTCTGTCGTGGAAAGGGCCTCGTCGCCCTCGGCGTGTTTCCTGTTTTCGACAAGCGTTGTCCCGTGATGTGCATGGATCATTGGGTTGCCGTTTCGAGGATCGGCGCGCCTCCTTCTTGATTATTTGGGAAAGCCTGCTGTGATCGCACGTTCCCCTTCCCCCCCTGCTACGTGGAAATCGGGCATGCCATTCTACAGAATAATGCTCAAATGTAGTGAACAAAATAGTCTGGGGACGAATTATTGACTGTTGTCGACTGTTCTCGAATATTTTTGTTTTTTTATGCTTAATCAGAGTTAATAATAACCTCATTCTTAATCCGTATTTGCGTTTCGAGGCCGCCTGTAAGGGACATGCCCGACCTAACGCCAGCTGCCAGTGATGTCGGGGCGATTGGTTGGGCTCCAGGCCAGGCGGCTGCCTGAACGGCGCGGAGTGCCGCCACTGCCACATCTGCCCGGGCGGCGAGCTCAAGGCGCGCAAGAAGGATATCCTGCGGCCAAGAGGGCAGGGGCGCAGAGGTCCGGGCCTACTAGATGGGGTCGGACCAGATGGGTTCGGAGGATCGCGCCGCATCGCCGGTGCATCTCTGATGCGGCTCACTCGGGAGCCTTGAGATGGGGGTCAATGCAAACGGGGGTCAGCCAGGGTACCAGATCCTGCAGGATCCTGCGAAGACTCCCTCTGGCTGACCCGCGAAGCGGCCGCGCATATTGGCTGACCCGGGTTTGCGAAGCCCTGCGTTGCAGTTTTGTTTTCTTGCACTGCAGTTTTTTGGTTTTCTGCTGACCCGGGTCTGGATTGACCCGGGTCAGAAGATCCCCGACTCACCGTGGAACCCGATTTTCTTCACGTCGGCGTCGCCGATGCATCGCCCGCGTCGACGATGCATCGCCAGCGCATCACCGATTTATCGCCGATGCATCGCCGAGCGTTCATCGGGGGCGGCGACGACCAGGATTACGTCGGGCGTGTCCCTTTGCAGGAGGAACATTCAGAAGCAGTCTAAAAACACAGTGTGGAGACGATGTTTGATTATGTTTTAAGGCATTTTCGAGCACTCGTTATCTTCTTAACACGTTCCCCTTCCAACATCCGCCTGTAGGGGGACATGCGCAACCTAAGACCAGGGGTGTGTGGGGACACCACGGCCAGGGCCATGGTGCCTCCTTGGGCGGCGAGCGAGTGGGGGGAAGTGAGGAGGAGCAGGCCCTCTCCGAGGTCGGCGGGGCTTCTCCAAAGCCGTGTCGCAGCCATCCTGTGGTGTTTTCCCAGCCATCCTGTGGTGTTGGGTCCTCCAGCCATCTTGTGAGTTTTCCCCAGCCGTCCTGTGTGTTTGGTCTGCGGAACACCGTGAGTTTTCCCCAGCCATCCTGTGGTGTTGGGTCTTCGTTTTGAAGAGACAGCGCCCCACATTCCTCCTTTCTTCTTCCTCCTCCTCCCCCTCCTCCGCCCTCCGCGTGTATCTGTTTCGGCGCGCCCCTCCCACGGTCCGTGGCTCCATAGGGAGCTCCACCGAAGGGCCCGAGTGGCAAGGTTCGCATGCAGTCCCTCTCGCGCCTTCTGAGAGATGCGCCGTGTCTTCGGGGAAGGCCAGGAAAGCCCGCCCCTCCTCGCTTCACCCCCCCCCGGGCTCGCCGCCGACCCCCCCCACCTTGCGTGGCGCCCCTTTCGTTATTCCAACCAGAGCGTCCCTTAGGCCCCCCCCCTCCCTTGGGCTCGGGCCGCGCACGTGCCTCCTCGGGCCACGGTCTGTGAAGCCTCTTCTCGGACGCCCCCGAGCGTGGGAACCACGCCAGCATAGTCTTTCGGATGTCCGTGGGCGGAGAGGCTCGAAGAAGAAGAAGAAGAAGAAGACGAAGGAGAACCACCCTCGTAAAGATGTGGACAATCGGACGTCCGCGCGGATTTTTTTGGGATCGGCGCCGGAGGTGCCGCCAAGGGGCTCCAGCGCCGATCCATGATGCCTGCGCGGACCTCCGCAAGTCTGTGTCTACGTGTGCCGCCCGCCACGCTTCGGCGCGACACGCTACCCACGTCCTAATCTCCAAGCGTCAACGTCCCGAGCCTTTCCAAGCCCCCCGCCCCGCGGAGCGGAGCGAGTCGCTCGGGCCGCCGCCGCGACACGCTGAGCGCAAGGTCCCTGACCGCATGTCCGCTGCCGCTGCCCATCTCCTGACCTGCAGGAAGCCTTCGCGCGCCCGCGGCTGGAGAGACCGCCAGACCCCCGACGTCGTGATTCTTTCACGACGTCGACCGCCAGAGGTCTCGACCCCTTCCCAGGGACCCAGCGCTTCCTCCCGCCGTCCTCTTCTGACGGTCCCGAGGCCCGCGCGGGCGCCCCCAGAGGCCGAACGCGGGGAGCAGCCTCCCGCCACGATGCTTTCCTGACCCGAGGGGGCTCCCGGGGAGGCCCTCCCCGTCCGCATCCCCTGGGCGCCGGCTGCGGCGCCCAGCCCCCCCCCCCCGCCCCACGCGCTCACAGCGCGCGCTGGCGAGGAGGCTTTTTCTTTGTTTCCGGGTGGCGTGCGGGCCGCCGCCGGCGGGGGGGGGGGCCGCCCCTCCCAGCGAGCACGTCCCCTGACTCGCAGAGTGCCTCCTCGCAAACGTCCGAAGCAAGAAACCAGGTTTGTCCCGACGTAGCGGATCGTAGATCCCGCGCGGCGGATCCAGGCCATCTGCGAGCAGCTCTTCTGCGAGTAGTTGAGCACGCTTGTCTACCCTCGGACGTCCGAAATCTGGGCCTCCCACGGCCCAGGGCGACGTCCTCCTCGTCGTCGTCGTCGTCGTTGTCGTCGTCGTCGTCGTCGTCGTCGTCGTCGTCTTCGTCGTCGTCGCCCTGGGCCCCCAGCGGCGAGGGCGACGTGCACGGCAGCTTCGCGTTGTGTTCACCGGCGGCGACCCCGCCGCCGGCGTTCAACGTTGAACGCTGCTGGCCACCCAGAACCAGTCTCGGGGGAACGTAAGGCTCGAGTGAGCAGAATCTCGGGTGTGCCGACATTTTTTGACGAGCACATCTTGGCTTGCGACGGTCCGGTGTTCGTGGGATGTCTGCAGGGGGAGCTTGCGTCAAGTTCCAGATTGGGCGTCGTCATTCTCATGATGGCCGAGTCGGGCCAACCCGAGTCCCCCGCACCCGAGATTTACGTCTTCCCGGCAGTCGATGTTGAACGATCCGCGGTTCGGAGACGGCCGATCGTTCAAGGTTGATCAGGAGGAGAAGAAATACACAGACAATTAATCGAGGACTTCCAGGAAAACATTGAACATATGCGAAGTGGGGGGAAGACGACAACCCAGAACATCTGGGAAAATATTAGGAATGATTGGATTTGTGTCTACTTATTGGTGTTCTTGGGCCCCTCTGGTTGAGCGATCCCCGCGGTGTCGGGAGCCAACGCTGGGGTCGACACTGCACGAGTCTGCCAGAGAGGTGGGGTCGAAGGCTCGCCCCGTAGCGGGCCGGTGCATCGGCGATGCGCTCTCCGATGCTGGGCCGGAGTGTCTCCACTGACGAACCAACAACACACACCCATACCCATAGGGGGGTCGGAAATGGCTCTGGGTGCGTGTCGTCGGATGGAGGTCCCCGCTCGAACGGGAGCGCTCCCCAGGGTCCGACAACCCGCACCCATACTCATAGCCAGTCCTCCTCCCAACGAGCCCCTATGGGTATGGGTGTGTGTTGTTCGTTCGTCGTCCACGCTGATGGCGCCGATGCATCGCTGACGTCGCGGATGCTCGATGAAGAAACAACGCCATAAACATAAACTGTTGGCCCTCCGCGCAGATTTCTTGGATCTGCGCTGGGCGCCCCCGGCGGCGCCTCCGGCGCTGCCCCTGGCGCGCTCCGCGCGCCAGGCAGGTCAGCACAGGTCCAAGAAATCCGCGCGGAGCGCCAACAGTTTTTTTGTTTATGTAGTTTTTTCTTTACGCATCGCTGATGCATCGCTGATGCATCGGCGAAGCATCGGCGATGCATCGGCGATGCGGCGCGATTCTCCGACTCCATTGATTCGGGCCCCATCTGGAAGCCTCTGCGACAGCGGCCGATGGTTTGCGTGGCCTTTCTGTCCCCCTTGGTCTCAGCTGGGCCTCCCCCGCCTGAGCGACGCAACAGAAAGGGGTCGTCTTCACCGACGCTGGCGCGTAAGCTGCCCGCGTAAGCTTGCGCGTAAGCGCTCTCGTCTAGGATGCAGCGTGCCGCGCTGGTGGCCAGCTTAGGCCGACGCGTAAGGTCGCTGTCCCATCTCGCGCAAGGCCCGTTGTTGACCGTCGCTGACCTGGACTTGGCGTGGCCCAGACGACGGTCTCGGCGGAGGTTGTTCGTTCGCTCGTGCTGGCCCCCTCGGGAGGGAGGGGGGGCGGATGCGGGGAGCGGGGAGCTGGAGCGGGAGGGCGAGGAGCAGGAGGAGCGAGCTGGAGCAGGACAGGCTCACGGCACATGGGAGGCGACGAGTAGTCCAGCGCATCCGTCCTAACACCTCGGCGGTCTTCAGTCTCGGGTATGCTGCGCTGGCATCACCCAGTCCCGCAAAGCTCCAGAGTCTCAATTCCCTTTCCCCTTGTTCCTGATCCCCAAAGAAACAAGGATCAGGGAGGGGAGAGGAAGGGAACCCCTCCCCGAAGATGTTTTGGAAAGAAAGGGCTGGTGGGATTAATCGATTTATCCGTATCGCTCCTTCTCTTTCACATCTGGCTCCAGCGCCGAGCTTCAGCGCTGAGCGCAATGACGAGTGGGTCGTCAGTCTGGCTTTTGCGCCCCATTCCTGCTCCTCAGTCGGATAGACTTCCGGAGCTCCGCTTAGAGCTCCGCAAGTTTATGTCCATGCCGTGTTTTGTTCCCCTATCAACAACATCAAAAGGAGTTCCACAGTTCAGATGTCGGCGGTGAAATCCGGACCCTACCCTTGCCGATCAACGATTCAGGCAACTCGATGGGCAGCGGGGCAGGGTTAGGAATTTGTGGGACACGTTGAAAATCCGATCCCTCCCCCCTCCGCCCCCCCATCGATTCCGAAGAATCGATGGTTGGTAGGGGTGGTGGATTCCTAATGTCGCCACCAAAGAAGACCACCCTCGACCAACCTGAACTTTTTTCCGTCGGCGGCGAGGCAGAGGCAGGTCGCTCCAGCGTGTGGCTATGACCGGGGCAACCGATCGGCAAATTGTCTGGCGTGCAAGAGCGAGAGGCGAAGACGAGAGCGGCCGCGCGAAGGGTGGAGGGTGAGGGCGCTCAGACACGGAAGAGTTCCGCGGTGAGCGTGACGGAGCGGCAGGCCAGGCAGCGGGGACCGCGGCAGCAGCCGGGGCCGAGGCCAGGGCGCACCCGCCAGCGCTGCCAGGGCGCAGTGAACGAACTGAAACAATCCAGCGTGGACTAGGCTTGTGATTTAAATGAGTTCCAGAGCTCCAGAGGACAAACTCGCGAGCCTTCGCGGGCGGGAGGCCCCGCCCGGCGGCGGCGCGGCGCCGCCGGCGCCCCTGCCCACGCTGCTGCTGTCGCCGCTGCGGCCGGCGCCGCCCTCCGCGGGGGCAGCATCGCTAGCGCCAGTCCTCAACGCAGGCTCTGAAGGGGGTACTCCTCTTTCTCCTCCTCCTCCTCTTCCTTCTCCCTCCTCCTCCTTGTCCTCCTCCTTTTCCTCATCTCCTCATATCCTCCTCATCTCCTCCTCATCTCCTCCTCCTCCCTCTCTGCCCCTTTAATTTTCTCTTCCTCCCCTGCCCTCGCGTTCTCTCCTCCGCCTCCTCCTTCACCTCCTCCGCCTCCTTCCCTGTCCCTCTCGTGTCATCCCCATCCCCATCCCGACCTCCACCATCCCACCACAGTTGGGGGTGGGCCCCTCGAAACTCCTTGAGGAACTAGCCGATATCCCCATCTCGAGGGGCACATCGGCCAGTGGGGCCCAGGCCACGCCAGAGGGGGTCGGCGGCAAGGCCAGGGGGGGGAGTGAGAGGGAGCATCGAGGGAAGCAGCACACTGGCCACGACAAAAGATGTCGCAGGAGCTTGGCGACGCCGGCCCGGCTCATGGTCCAGGCCCGTCGTTGCCGGGATTGACGCTGACCAGGATGGACGGTGGTCAGGATCGGCACCACGTTTCTGCGCTCAGTCTTGGTCATGCTTCCTGTTTGCTTCCCCTCCAGAGCATGCCTTCTCAGAAGGCGGCGGGGCTTCTCAGGAGCTCTTCGGCCCTCTGAGAAGCCGTTTCTGTTTTCGGAGGCGGCCGAGCAAGCGTCCCAGGAGGCCAGAGGGCTTCCGAAGCCCCGCCGCCGAAGGGCCTCGCCTTCGAGGGATCGAGAAGTTGGCACCTCTTCTTCTGCGGCAGGCTGCGGACGTAAAACGACGGCGGCTCCGCCAGCGGCAGGGCCGCTCGCGCCGGCGGGAGTCAGAATGCACCTCCAAGGGATGGCAACATGTCCGGGTTCAGGGTTTCGGGTGCCCGCCAGATGGGGGGGCAGTCAACGTCAACGACATCAGGGGCGATGTTCGGGGGGGAGCTTGCTCAGGGAAGGGACGCATCGGCCCCCAATCGCCCGTTCATCGCCGACGGGGGACCGATCGCCTGTGTCGCCCAGGAACGCGCGGACGTGCTAGCGAGGGCCTGCCGCCGGGCTATCGGTGACGTATCCCAGATGCAAGCTCGATGTTCCCCCCGGAGCTGGTCCACCACTGGAGCTGCCCCTCACGTCAAGGATAAGCCTTTGAAGCGAGGCGCAACGGCTCCCCTCGGCCCTGGGTGTCCTCTGCATGCCCGTTCCAAGGGACGGGGAAAAGCAGGGGGGGTGAGGGGGCGTCACGTGAGGGAAGTTGTTGTTGAGGAGGGGGAGAGGGAGGAGGAGGAAGAGGAGGAGGAGGAAGAGAGGGAGGAGGAGGAGGAGGCGTCACATTATGCCCCCCCCCCGCCCGCGCCCGTCCTTACCCCCATGGCGCCATGCAGCGCTGCGTCCTGTGCTAGCTTTAGGGGGCCATCCTGGGGCTCCTCCTCCCCCTCCTCCTCCTCCTCCTCCTCCTCCTCCTCCTCCTCTCCTCCTCCCTCCTCCTCCTCCCCCTCCCCTCCCCGTCCTCCTCCTCCTCCTTCTCCTCCTCCTCCTCCTCCTCCTCCTCCTCGTCCCCCACCCCATCCCCTCCTCCCCCCTTCCTCTCCCTCTCCACCCCCTCCTCCCCCTCCTCCTCCTTCTCCTCCTCCTCGTCTCCTCCTTCTCCTCCTCCTCCTCCTCCTCCTCCTCCTCCATCCGGGGCCATGCTGCGTGCTTTAAGCTACCCGCGAGACCATGGTCCCGTCCCCAGGGCATGGACTTCCCCTAGGTGAACGGGTCAACCCCTTCAGCTACTCCTCGGCCACAGCTTGGGACGCTGTCAGGGCGCTCTTGGGGCCGTCTTGGAGCATTCTTGGTCCCCCCCCCGCTGGGGCTCTCTTGGATGATCTTGGAGCCAGTTTGAGGCATCAGAGGCCAATCCAAGGGGCAAGCACGATGAAGCGACCGTCATTGATCCCCCCACACCTCCAGGGTTTGGGGGGAATTCGGGGCCTCCCGTGGGTATCTTAGGGAAGGTATTCGTGGTCATTTGGTGTCGTGTTTTGGCGTTCTTGTCACATCCTGGGTCATCCTGCATCTTGAACAATATGGGGCCATCTTTGACCATAATCAGGACCCTTGACCGCGCAGGCCTCCCCCCGTCTGGATCCAGGGTAGGAAATTCCCTTTAACAGAAAGGGTCAACCCTCAACTCCTCACTGCCCCTCGGCCGCGTCACCCTTGTGTCACGAAGGTAGTCGCCAAAATGGCACGCGATGGCCCAATATTGTCCAAGACGGCCTCCACTGGGCCTCCCCGAGATACCTCCAGATCGCCATAACACGGCAAGAGGTGGCCATGGATCCTCCCCAGGATGCCCCCGAGGTTTGTTTTTCAGCGGATTTACACCTCATCGTCGTTGGCTTTTGGTGGGCTCTTGAGCCTTCAACGTGGCCCCAGAAGGCCTAGGACGGTCAGATGCCTCTATGAAGACCTCCCAAGCGCCCGGGTAGGCGCCCGAAGGGCCCCATGAGAGCTCAAACTGAAGAAAAGGCGATCAGGACCACCTGCACTTAACGCCACGCTGGCCGCAAGTCGGCCCAAGGAGGGCTCCTCAGGCTCCAAGACGCCCCAACCGAGCCTCAAGGGAATTCCCCCAACTGACCATGCAGAGAGCCAGAGCAGGGCCCCAAGACTGTCCGCGATAAAGTCTTTAGATTCCCTCCAATCGGGGTAACTATTTTTTTTTTCGGCGGCCTGATTGAAGGACTTTGGTCTTGCCAATAGGGAGTAACTATACTTCGTTCGCGGCACCCGCAGAACAACAGCGAGGAGGAGGAGGAGGCGGAGGAGCAGGAGGAGGAGGTGGAGGAGAGGGAGGAGGAGGAGGAGGAGGAGGAGGAGAGGGGAGAAGAGGAGGAGAGGTTTGAGGACCAGTCCCATTTCTCGCCGAGTGAAGAAAAGGGGGGATCGGACTCGAAGTCCTCCGGAGGTGTTACCCCACCAGGTCGGACGCAAGGGGGGGGGGGGAGTGGGAAAGCGGGGGTTTACGAGATCTGCGGCCTGGACCCCGTTTCGGCCCCCGCCGCCGGGGGCTCCCCTCGATGCGTACGTGGGCGCCTCCGGGGGCGTGGGCTGCGTCGGAGGGGCTCGGCTGCCCGAGCCGCCCGTGGTCCTCGACCGCCCAAGACCGGCCGTCCGGACCCCTCCTCCGGAGAGGACTTCTCCCTCCGCGCCTCCCCCGAGCAGTGGCGAGGCGTCTTGGCTCGCCCACAGGCCTGCCAGGGAATGTTCTAAGAACCCTTTGTGGTTCCAACGACATGCTCTCAGAACATTGCTGGCTGGGACTGTCTTGTCTTAACACATCGGGATTCTGTTCTAAGACCATTGTTTGTGTTCTTGGGACACTTTGGGGCCTACACTTTTGGACACTTTTAGACCACGACATGTTCTAATAACATTTCGTGGTAGGCCGAAAGGAATGCTGGGACGGTCGGTCCCTGCTCAACTCCCGAGGTTAGCCCCTGGAGGCCGAAAGGAACCGATCGCCGGCTGGTACCTTTTTCTTTTCCTCGTCGCTTTCCGGCGTCCGACTGGCTCTCCTCCGTCCCCGGGATGGCCCAGTACAGGGCCCAGAAGAGGACGGGCCTGAGACGGACTCGGACACCCCCGTGCGAACCCCGGGAGGGTCGCGAGAGGGCCCCAGGATTCCGACAAGGCCACCTGTGTTCGCCGCCACGTTGATCGTAAGACGGTCTCAGGAAGGCCCCTCGGGCTCAAAGAAACCCCATCAGAGCGATCAGGGCTCAACCTGAACGGTTCTGTAGGCTGCTCTCGTAGGCTGTTCGTGTTTTGGCACTTTCGTGGGTTGTTCTCGTATTGAGACTCTTTTGCAGCAAGGAGGAAGAAAGAACAACCGAGGGAAAACGAAAGCAAAACGTGAACGGAAGCAACAACTGATGAGGTCGAGCCCTGGGAGCGATCCCCCAAAGGGACCCACCAGAGCCCAACAGCAGGACTCCAAGGGCACGACAAGCGAACTTCGGCCGAGTTCTCAAAGGTCCTCCCCCCCTCCTCCACTCCGAGGCCCCGCCCATCAAAGATTTTCACCTGTGCCTCGTCCTTATCCGCGGTTGACCTCGGGCAGTTATCGCGCCAGATTGCCATCCGCACTCAGTCCACATTAAGTGTTGCAACGTCGGGTAGGGGAAAAGGTGAAGGTAAACCCATTCCCGACGAACAAGAAGGGGTTTGGAATAACCTATCCTTCATAGGGCTGGTGGGACTACCTATTGATCAGAAGGATGTTGGAAGAACGTCGTTCAGAAGGGGGTCGGAATAGACATACATGGAGGTTGGGAGAAACCATCTACGACAAGATGGTTGGTGGGATTCCTCAGAGAAGGTTGCGCAGCTCGTGAGCCATGGCCGGTAGCAGACCATTGGAGGCCACCCTCAGGAGCTCTTCGCCAAGGGTCATTTAACTATTCCAGCGCGGGTGTCTTCCCACGAGAGTCTCAGAGGGCCTTCCGTAATTGGCCCTCTGTTCGCACGACCTCCCGCATCCACAGGCTCCGTGCTGCACGGCTTCGGCTGCTGCAAGCCCTGCGCGTTCCTGTGGAAGCCCTCGGGCTGCGGCAAGGGCCAGGCGCGGAGGAGGAGGAGAAGGGAGGAGGAGGAGGAGGAGGGAGGAGGAGAGGAGGAGGGAGGAGGAGGAGAGGAGGAGGAGGAGGAGGAGGAGGAGGATAATGGAGGAGGAGGAGGAGGGAGGAGGAGGAGGAGGAGGGAGGAGGAGGAAGAAGAAGAGGAGGAGGAGGAGGGGGAGGAGGAGGAGGAGCAGCAGCAGCAGCCGCCACAGCGGACGGGCTTTATCTCCTCTCTGGAGGGCATCCACGCAACACGGTTGGCCTGGGCCATCCTGGGCCCCCAGGGACTTGTGCCCGTGCTTCTACTGTGGAATCCGCGCCTCCCAGGAGGCCTCGAAGCGCTCTCGGAGGGCCCCGACTTTGCGACCCATGTGAAACCACATCTCTGCAGGCCCAAACGATGACGGGGTATCGGACACCCCCGCTGAGGTTCACCAGGCATCCACCACATTCTGAACCCCAGCCAGCGTAGCACAAATCTGACCTTCAGGGGGTTCGCATGTGAACGCCTATCGAAGGCCCTCGGCGGTGTACAGGCGCCTGGGATAAGAATATTAAGCACGAACATCAGCTTTCGGAGGTCCGAGCAGATTTTTTTGTTGGGATTGGCGCTGAACGCCCCCCTTGACGCGCTCCGAACGCCAGGCAGGGGGGGGGGGTCCAGCTCCGATCCGAGAAGTCCGCGCGGACCTCGAAAGGTGGGGACCCATGCCAAGAGACACGCTGCTCGCCTCCAGGGTGCCCTTGGTTTTTTGGGGGGGTTCGATGGCTTTGCTGTGGAAGGCGTGACTTTCCCACACCTAACATCGATGGACGTCCTGACGGTTTCTTGTGGACTGGCCTCCACTGTATGTTCATGCTGACGACGGCCAGACACTTTTTGCTCAGCGTGTCGCTCCTCCAGTTCTGGGCCAATGCGCTTCGGGCGCGGCACGGTGTCCACCTTCTCGCCCCCGAGTGTCAACGTCTCGAGTTGTTCCCCGCACCCCGCCGTGCGGAGAGGAGCAGCCCGCTGCCCGCTCGCTGTGCAGCGTGTCGCCGGGTCCGCCGCCACCGCGACACGCTGAGCAAGCAAGGTCCTGACCAGAGGAGAACGTTTTTTTGTTCCCCCTGCCGGTAAACGGCGTTACCGGGGGGCGGAGGGCAGGGTCTAGTAACGTCACGTTTCGCGCCGCAGCAGTCTGGGAGCGTTTGGGAACAAGCAAGGACAACTCGGACGTCAGCACGAATCGTGAGGTTACCGGAGGGCGGGTGGGCGGCAGGGGCGAAAATAACCAATGCTATCTCTCGCCGCGCCGTTGGTTCCGACGCGCCGCCTTCCGTCTCGGGGCACGCACCGCCTCGTGTGCAGGGCTTGCCGTGGGGTTGGCCGCGGTGCCTGCTTCGTTTACTTGAGCGCGGGACGCTTGCTTTGCCGCGGTTTTGCCGTGTTGTCGGCGTCGCCCATTTGGGCGCGTTGAAAAGAAGTGGCGCGGCTTCTTTGTCGTCGTCTTGTTCTGATGCCCCTTGCGCGCCCACCGCCGCTGCCCACCAGAGGCCTGCCAGCACTGCCACCTCTGCCCCGCCGGGGAGCTCCAGGCGCGCCGCAGGCCGGGGTGTTGAATAAGCCCGACATATAACCACGCCCAAAGCTGCCGCGGGCTCTCTCGTCGACGCCGACCTCTCGGCTACTCCCAGGAGGGGCCCTTCGCCGCAGTCCAGTATCGTTTAAGCGATCCCTATCCCATTTCCATGCCGATCCCCACCATCCCCACCATTTCAGTTGGGGATGCACCTTCCGAGACTCGGAAGAAACAACCCACATCCCTATCTAGGGGGTAGTTCGGCCAGTGTGGCCCTGGCCGCGCAAGTGGGGATAGGGGTCCGTCAAACGATGATCCGAAGTGACCTCGAGTGCGGGCCCATAGTGAGGGGCGGCGAACATTTTTGTTTGACTCGGATTCAGCGTTGGGTTCGGGACTGGCACAAACTGGAGAGCGGTTCAAGCTCATCTATCCCCTATGCGTCGCCTTTGGCGGCTGTCGGGGTTCACTTTCGGAAAGGAGCGAAGCACTTAAACTTGTACCGCTGAGGGGGGGCGGCGAACATATCCGTATCCGCGCCCTCGCGGCCCAGATTTCGGAGCGCACATCCCGCGGAGGCGCGCGGTCGCACGGGCACGCTCTGGCGAAGGACGTGCCCGTGCGACCGCGAGCCTCCGCAACGAGGCAGCCGCGGACGACAACGCCTCCGCATCCGCGGGGTCGCCACTCGGGGGTCAGCGGCCCGCGAGGCCGCAGATGCGGACATGGCTTCGCCCACGACTCTGGACGCCCGAAATGGGCACGGGAAGAATGGGTGCGATGCCCAGCATCAGTCCCTGTTCGTTTTGAGCAGGGCTCGCTGTCCGCGCCGCCGCGGCCCCTGCGTCCACTTGAGACCGAAGGCCGCCTGCCCCACAGCGGCCGCTGCTGGTTCGGCACAACATTCGTTTTTGGGCAGTGTACCCAGTCTTTCCGTACCCATTTCGGGCGCCCAAAACGACGCAAGGAGCCACCATCATTGGCTTCCGCGCTTGGATTTCGCCCACCCGCGGCCCCCTGCAGCCGCGCAAGAAGGGTCCCTCTTGCCCAGGGCCACTCTCGCGTGTGAGCGGTGCCTCGGTCGTGGGTCCATGTCAGCCTCGCCGCCGATGCGCGAGGACGATCCGCGGGTCGACGATGGCCAAGGTTGGCGATGGCCAGGGTCGACACCAACGTCTCCGCGATCAGCCTTTCCGAGGGCGGGAATTGTCCATGACCAGATCCCAGGGGGCCGATCCTCTGATAACCTCAGCAGGCGATGGATACGGATGTACAGTGGAGGCCCATGCCAAGAGACACGCTGCTTGCCTCCAGGGTGCCCTTGGTTTTTGTTTGGGTTTCGATGGTTTTGCTGTGGAAGGCGTGACGCTCCCACACAAACAATTAATGAACGTCTTGGGGTCTCAGGGTTGGGTTTCTTGTGGAAGGTTCCTCGTGGACTGGCCTCCACTGTATTCGGCCCTGTTGCGGCCAACTAAATCCATGTCCACCGCCTGACGAGGCCCCCGAAGATCGCTTCCCCAGGCGGTGGTGGAGGATCACGTGCGACCAGTTTCCAGCCCCACCCCTGCTGGCCCCAGTGGGCTTCACATGGCTGCAGACATCCCTCGAAAGTCTCAACCCTGGCCGTCTTTGCGGAAGTCTGACCTGCAGGGGTAGGGTTCACATGTTGTCGCCTGGGGTACGTCCCCGCCAGGCAGTGCGCGGTCAGCTGGTCATTCGGATGCAAGTCCTGAGGAGGTTGACTTCCGATCCGGAGCTGATATATCCCTGGTCGAAAACCGCCCGAATTTGGCTTGATCCCTGGTCGATCCCGCCTGATCCCGTTGAATCCGGCCCGATACCGCATGCTTTGGCTCAACATGGGGCTGATAATACACCCTGACCAGGCTCAGTGGCCCTCGTCATCGGCCTCACCTGCCCTGAGCCGTTCCGTCGAAGGCCTTCCAGGATGTGCCTCCTCAGGTCGGCCACGCGCAGAAGGGGGGAGGGGGGAGGGCTGCTTGGAGAAGCACCCCCTGCTTCTCAGAAGGAGGAGCAGCCTCCTTCTAAGGAGCTCTCCCCCCTTCCTCCACGGTGCAACTCCTGGGAGGTCAATTTCTGACCTTGCCTTGATCCGGAATCCTGTTTGATCCGCTTACGCAATCCCGCTTGATCCGGCTCAATCCCGCTTCATCAGGCTACACCCCGCTGAGTCCGCGGGCCCATCCGGCGGATGAGCCCCCCAAGTGGTCTTCATCTTCCTTTGTCCTTCCGACGTAGACCTCTCAGCAGTTGCCTCCTCACCCTTTTGTGCGCCGCCAGTGATCGTCATCGTCCTCCCTCCCCCCCTCTCGGAGGGAGGAGATGTGACACCGACACTACCAGGGGGGCCACCTCCAGCGAGAAGGTCCACGATGCCTCCCCGAGCTGGAGGCTGGGGATGTCTCGAGCGGGGGGGGGGGACCACACCACCAGGGATACAGTGTCCAGCTTGAAGAAGGAACGCTTACTTTTCAAGAGGGGCTCGGTCGTTCCTTTGGTTTGCATGCGTTCCGCTGCCTTTTCTGCGGCGAGCCCCCCTGGTGTTCCTTCGGGCTCCCTAGACTAGCTTTGGAATAAAAGGGGCTTCGTTCCTGATTCATCGTTCCCTTGGGTCAAGCCGAATGCTGTACCCCCCTTGCTCCTTGCGTCTCCTCGCCCTACTATTCCTGAGCAGTTTTGGAATATTGTTTGAATAGTTTTCATTTTTCGTCCAAAATCCCCCTGTAGGGGGGCAGGCCCGACCCAACCTTTGTGGTGTTGGTGCCGCCCTTCCTCGTCCCCTGCCCCCCCCCCCCCCGGCAGGGCGAGGCAGGCGCTGCTGCGCCTGGCGGGCGGCGGCCCGGACCTGCCCCCGCCGCGCGCCCCTGCCCTCGCGGCGGCGGCCGTGCGCGTGGAGCTGGCCCGCCTCGCCCGCGCGCTGGCGGCGCCGTCCGGGCGCGCGCGGGGCAACTCTCCTCCTCCTCCGCCTCCGCCTCCGCCTCCTCCTCCTCCTCCTCCTCCTCCTCCTCCTCCTTCTCCTCCTCATCTTCATCCTCCCTCTCCTCCTCCTCCTCCTCCTCCTCCTCCTCCTCCTCCTCCTCCTCCTCCTCCTCCTCCTCCTCCGTCTTCCCACGCATTGACAGAAATCACGACGGAGGTTTTTTACAGCCTGCGGCCTCCGGGGGCCCGTACCGGGCCTCGGGGCCGTCCCGAAGCGGCTCAGGATGAAAAGCCGGTCCTGGGGAATGAGTCGAGATTTCAGGGACCCCGTATTGAAAAATCACGACATCGGATCACTGGGTCTCTCGTTCTCTCTCTCTCTCTGTCTCTGTCTCTCTCTCTCTCTCAAGAAGAAGAAGAAAAAGAATAATAAGAATAAGAAAACGAAAAGAAAACGAAGAGGAATAATAAACATAAGAATGATAAAGGAAATCATAAGGATA